ACACACACACACACACACCAAAAAAAAAAAAAAAAAACGCGCACACACACAGACAAACATACACACATTACAAATGATTAAACAGTTATTTATTTGTAATAATAATCTACCTGTTAAAAATATAGCGAATGAAACATACGATTATTTAGACAAACAAAAGAGTTTGTTATTATTATATAATTTATATTACGCTATTGATGCAGACAAAATTGCACATTTTCTCAACAGTGCGCACACACACACACACACACACACACACACATTTTCAACCTCCTGATGAGTTGGTGAAAGTCAGAGGGAACAATCTGGCACAGTCATGGCTTTTTTCTGTGTGTAAAGTTTGTATATATACATGTATGTATGCATCCACATCATGCCCATCGACAATCGAGCAAGCCAAATAAAGCCCCAGATCTATCCATAACAACCATCGCAAATAGGGCAAGCAAAAATAACGGCCCATCATCCCGACCGCATAGAAGTTAAACATATGTATCGATCCCGTTCAATCGCGATGACGAGGCGTTGCCTTCGAGAGAACAAGCGTAGCCAATAGCCAATTACAATTGAGAGCGTAAGACACATTTTACCTTGTGGGCTCCGAACAAAACACCCCATCATCACACAACGGCATCGGATCTGGACAGGAATAAGATGAGGCCGTACCGTTCGAAGGAAGACTCACTCGGGCAATTGTCGATGGCTTTGGTAGTCTGCAGATAGACGTAACCATAGCCAAAGACTAGCAATAACCATGGGAGAATGGGATTGATCCAGATACTAACGGTAGCCATACTCATCGACTATTGGGATAGCAAGAAGAGACCACCGTCTTCATCCGAATAGAACGACCGGCATTATCGCTGAACCGCTCTACTTGCGGCAACTTTCAGTGCAGATGCAGCGATAATGACCAGCGTTCTATTAGGGTGAAGACGGAAGTCATATCCATATCTACCGTATCTTGCCATCATCTATCTATCTATCTATCTATCTATCTATCTATCTATCTATCTATCTATCTACCTACCTACCTAGCTATATATATAGCCATCAAGTCAGATCTATCTATCTATCTATCTTAGCATGCTATCTATCTGCCTATCTGTCCATCTATCTGTCTGTCTATCTATCTATCTATCTATCTATCTATCTATCTATCTATCTATCTATCTATCTATCTATCTATCTATTTGTCTATCTATCCATCTATTTAGCTAACTAGCTAGCTAGATAGCTAGCTAGGTATATACATAGCCATCAACAATTCCGTTTACAGTCTTCCCCGAATACAACGTACGGTCATTATAGGTGAATTTGGTGTATCTTTCAGTCCAAATTCAGCTAAAATCACCGTACGTTGTATTCGGGGGAAGACTGTAGTTATAGTCATAAAACATTGAGAACCATTCTTCACTCTCATGATACACCGCACCAAACAGTTCATGTGGTCCATGCCGTACCCTACTACTCCATCCATGTGCTATCCTTTCCTTTCCTTTTTCCCTATTCGGCGGAGGGAAGGGGACGGAAATAAAACCTTGGGCCTGCGGCAGCTCCTCATTCTGGGGAGCAGGCACTGCTGTCTGCTCACTGTTTCGCTGTGTCCTCTGCCTCGATCCACTTTTCACTAACTACAATCTTTTCGGTCTCGGTCGTGTGATTGCTGTCCCTTCCTACTTTTCCCGCTATTATCTCAGTGACAGCAATCTCTCTCTCTCTCTCTCTCTCTCTCTCTCTCTCTCTCTCTCTCTCTCTCTCTCTCTCTCTCTCTCTCTCTCTCTCTCTCTCTCTCTCT